GATGTGAAGTGATATAGATATTTTTGGTTCAAGTGAGAGTTTGAGAAAAAAAAGTGAAGAAACGAGTTCTTTTATGACTTAATTTACATGTGTATTAACACTCTTTACTTCCATTCTCATTATACATAAAAAACAAATCCAATAACATATAGATCGGTTATCAACTATATGCAATACAGATTTTTTCGTTTTGAAACTATTGTAAATTAAACTTTTTAATCTTTACTAATTGTAATTGTAAAAAGGCATTATTTTTAAAAATTTTTTAAACTTTTTTTTTGTAAGATATTAGATACCTCCCAGCTCACGCGTATTTCTTTTTTGTCTGAGCGTAACACGAATACATAAGGTATTTATCCACGTTATTTATGCATAAATATTACGTAGCGTTTTTGATACGTAAAAAGAGTTTATTGACATATTTTTTTGAAAATCATTTAATCAAATAAAACTTAATGATTGTAAAAAATGCACCTTTTATATAGTTTATATGTATATATATATATAACACGTATATACTACAATGCTATGCGTAAATGTGTTTGTTATTTATACATGTTATTTATAATGATGCCGTAAGCTTGCGATTAATTCTATGATTTTCTTAAATCTAAAGCTACATTTAATTGTGGAGTATACATGTATTCATATGTATGTAATTTTTTAATTTTTCTTTCACATGATCATCATATACCTAAGTCTTATATATAATTACTTTTAATAAATAAATTCGTTTAAATTTGCGAGAAATATACATAGATAGATATTTTTTTTCATATACAATTTCGTATTGGTTATGCATTTAATGTACAGAGTAAATGATAATTATACATAATACACTTGTCTCGTATAACCAACATATGATATACATGCATAAACATTTGAATGAATATTTACATACAAATAATAACCTACACTTAAAAGTTCTCCGATAAATTATTCTTTCATCGTTACACATATATCATGTTAGTTACATGTACGATATATTTTTATTTTTTTATTTTTTATTTATTTCTAATGATAACATAAAATGCATATTATCGATGGTTCAACATATTTTCAAGATGTAAGGATATACAATATAATTAAAAATTATTAGACAACTTCAACAGTCCTTAATGTATTTTATATGTAAATANTCTAATGATAACATAAAATGCATATTATCGATGGTTCAACATATTTTCAAGATGTAAGGATATACAATATAATTAAAAATTATTAGACAACTTCAACAGTCCTTAATGTATTTTATATGTAAATATTTATATAGGAACAAAAGTGTAATTTTATTATATGCATTTGTAAGTTTAAGCATCTTAAAATTATTACTATTATTATTTACATAAATAATACATCTTATGGCTCAGAAAAAAATCTTTCATCAGAATGTTCGTTCATCCCGAGATTTTTTAAAGTATTACCCTAGTTGTACCTATACAACATCATAACATTCAATTCAAAACGAGTTGATATACCTATACCATAATAACAGCAATAACAACAACAGTAATAATGAGAATACAAATGACAGTTTGAGTGGACTTCTTTCCGCTTCGTAGATACATGGAAAGAGACTCTTGAACGGATGAAAAAAAGCAGAACAATAAATTAAAATCGAAAATAAATCAGAGGCATATCGTCTTGGCAAATTTTTTCTCGCCTTTCCGAAATTAGTGTAGTGGGGAAACATGAAAATACGTGAATATTAATTTCAGGAATGCTTGTACTCCTAATAATTATTTAATAATTATCACCCAAAATAGGAATATTTTATACCATTAAACCATGTTGTATACTATGTTTTACATACATACAATACAGAGTTTTTTTTTTTCCTTCAAATATCTATATGAATTATAGGCGAACAATTAGTCTCTACGAAAAAAAAAAATCATATTACATCCATCATTTATTATCCTTCGTTCTTTGAATTCTAGATATTGACGCTATGCGGTTTTTAACGTTTATTTGTTTGCACGCAATGGCTAGTGAATTTTGTGGCATATTTATTTTATCACTATGACGTGAGTACTTTGACGAAATTTTTCAATATGTATTTAACTGTTGTCTCAATGTTTACACGTTAGCACGTCGTAGTTTAAAGTCTTTTGTAAAGACTAAAGAGTAGATTATTTATTTTGTTTTATTATTATTATTTTTTTTTAATTAGTCTTCCTGTACTAGGTGTCATTGTCAAGTCGCGAGACAAATTTAATAATTTTTTTTTTCCAATGAAAAAAAAATAAAAAATAAAAAAAGGACAAACATAAAAGCCCATGATTACCCATGAGCTTTTTTCCTACGCTTCCGTAGTTATCATTTCTAATGGCCAAAGGTTTTCGTATCCATTCACAGTCTCTCACTGCTTCGACAGCAATAATCTTTGTTTAAAGTTAATTTGCTTAAAAGCTTGACAAACGGGAACGCCAGGGAGGAAAGACTGCTCCGAGAAAAGCCCTCGAAAGAGGGAGGGTAAAAAGAAAAAAAACGAGTCAAGAGCAATAAATTAAAAGAGAGGGGGGGAGGGGGAACAAGTACTCTGCAGAGTGTGGTTTTTTCGGTGGGGCGAGATGAGGGATGGGGGTCTGTACGGTATGATAGCAGCGAATAAGAAAAGGGCGGGGGGAGGGGTGAGGAAAGAATAAAGGAGGAACGTCTGGGCGGGAAGGCGGCTGAACGAGAGAGAGAAACAAGAAGACAGGTAATATCTGCGCCCGCAGGATCGATATTAGCCCAGCCTCCGGCCGAACGCGGGGCTGTTTGCGTGTGCTCTCGGGGTTTTTCCATCTTCTGCGTTTGCAAAGCTAACACAGGTGTTTTTTTTTTTTTTTTTTTTTTTTTTTTTTTTTTTTTTTTTTTTTTTAAGTTTTT